GGGGAGGAGAAAAAAGAACCGTATCATCATATTCCAAGGAAACATGAGTGGAGGGATAACATTGAAGTAACAATAACAATAACAAAGAAAATGGAAAACGGCCGGGCAGTGCCGGCTGAAATGAAACATATATTTAAAAAGGGAGGTGTGTTTGAAAAGTGGAACGGAGAGAAAAGGTGGTGAAAAAGACCAGTAACTACTTGTACCCCTTGCGCAGGAGGTCTGTACGCTGATACCATAAGCCGGTTTTCCACCGGTCGAGGACAATTCATCAAGTGTAGACCGCAGAAGAGTGGCAGTAGTTGTGGTCATGTGAAAAAGACGACGGACATAGGAAAATGGGGGAGCAGCGAGTTAGCTAGTTGTATGTTATTTATAGGCAAACATGAAAATAAGTAAGGAGTAAACATTATCTATCGTACAGGAAGAGGGAAGACGCTAGTGTTGTATTGTATCAATTAGGGAGCGCAAAATTGCGAGGAGATTTGGTTGAGATTTTGGGTATATAAAATAACAAGGCGAGAAGGTGGAAGTCCGAGCTTCGGAAATGAAAACAATCGAAAGAGCATCTAGATGGTGATTGCGGATTGTTTTTGTGGGCTGATTTTGCCGCATGGGATATGGTTATGGACGAACGAAGGGATGGAGAAGGGTCGTATTATTGATTTCCATTCGTCTTTGTCACCTCACTTCTCTCCATATTTCCCAAACTTCTGTTGCCATTTGACTAGATTCCGCGTCAGGGCATCCATCATTTCGAGGCTCGTTAGGTCCTTGAATTCCTTTTCCTTGGGCTGAGTAATCCCGTTTGCCTCTATCTTTTCTGCCACATAATTCGTAGATTCATCACTATGATGGTCACCGTTAGTTATATGCGTTCCAGCTTCCTCCTTCCCTCCAGAAACTGGGGCACCGCCAGTTCCACTGATCTGTTCTGGACTAGAAGCCAAATCGAGCTGTAATTGGGATATGAATTCGAGAATGGCAGCGACACGCCTCTTCATTTCGTTCATTGTGGTGCGTTGCGGGTTCATATATCGTGGTTTACTAGGTTTCCCGGATTCCCCACCGTTGAGGTAGACACCGTTTACCCCAAGGTGGACACCTGTAGGTGATTCACCGGTTCCGGTGTCTCCAGATTGGCCCCGACGGGGAGAGTGGATGCCACCACCACTGATGTCACCGTTTACTGAGTCGCGGTCTCGGGTATATTGATTTCGACCCAATCGACCACGGCGGGCTGGTGGGCGACCAGTTTTTCGCGTGGAAGATTTTGTATTGGAGGGCTCGTTTACGAGACTGGGAGCGTCAGGTGTGGATTGGCTGATAGTTGGGGGAATCGAGCTGGTCTTCGTTGGGGAAATTGTTTCGGTGGGTTCTTCGTCTAGTACTTGCATAGTCAGCTACGCCCCTCCTCCACATTCGAAACTTCGGGTATAGTCACTCACCATCTTTCCGGCGTTCTGAGCGATTCTTCCGTCGGCTGACTGCATCATTTATTTCCTTTTCTGGCTCTTTCTCTGTTGTTTGAGCTTCCCTCTCTCGTTGGTTTCGAACCACTCCTCTGGTCTTTTTATTTCCATTGCCTTCCTGGGAAACGTTGGAGTTGGATTTGTTTTCATCATCTGACGGTGGGTGAGATGCAGAGTTGCTACGTTTTGAAAGAGAAGAGGAAGGAGATCCGGTGCGTTGTCGTTTTGCAGCGTGTTTATTCCTGTTGTGCAACTGTTGGGTTAGAAAAATGACGAGAGAAAACAGAATATATCCACTCCTCGAGGGTTAACATACGCTTCACTATCGCTTCTGCTTCGCTTGCCTCTACGGCTTCCAAGGTCATCAGCGACTGATTTTGAATCTTCCTTGCTCTCCTCGATCGCTCTTCGTAACTGTTCTTCGTCGTAGGCGGCATCACGACTATTCATAGTTGAGCGTCGTTTAGTGCTGAGGAGGCCTGCACTGCCGCGGTTCTTTTTATTTTTCAGGTTTCTGGAGCTGCCGAGGGACGAGGATCTGGACGACGATGTGGATGACGAGCCAACCACTGGAAGGTAGCGGGAGGATTTTTGACTGCGTGATCGTAAGCGTGACGCCCACATGCTTCAATGTAGAGAATGACAATGGAAAATGAACGTATTGTATAGAACGAAATAAATAGATGAAACAAGTTTATGCTTTAAAACTCCACGGTATCTTCAATCAAAACGACTCAGAGGGGAAGAAGAGTCCTGGCCGTTTTGAGCGGGCAACTGAAGTGAAAGACCTCAACAAACCCATCAATTGGAGAGGGGTGAATGATACACCATCCAAAAAGTGAATAAAAATTTCAGGCTAGGGGTAAAAAGGGAAAAGAATCAGTTATCACTCACCCGTTCGAAGCTGTAATGATTTTGTGTAGGTCCTTCCGGCATTCTTCGCAAAAATATTCATCGGGGCTGGAAGCTTCTTCCATAATTCCCACGCAGCCTCCATGCTGCCAGACTTTACAGGAGTCGCATTGGATGAACAAACTCCCAGGCTCATCAGACTGCATATCCTCAGCAGACACTGAAGCTCCTTGGACCGAGTCATCCTTCACGCCCTGTTTTGTGACGCTTGCGCTGCCAGCGCCCTGGTAGATCAGAGGTAGACCAGGGTAATCCTGCTGTCCACAGAGACATCTGGTTATTTCTTCTTCATCACCGTCTTCCTCATCGTATTCATCACCTAGAGCTTGGAGGATGTCGTCTTGTTCGTCGTTGTTTCGGCCACGATGGCGATGGCGGGTTTGTGGGAGGTCAGATCGAGGATATGCCTCCAAGTCATCGGTGGACTCGGAGCGCTGGGTGGAGGGTCTACGGTGGGGTGATATTTTATTATTCGAGCGCGTGCTCCTTTCAGCGCGGCTGAATGAGTTTGATGAGCTGGATGAGCTTGTGGGCTGCATTGCGGCGGACGGTTGCAAAGTTCGAGCGCGAGACGAGCGACGAGGAGTCATGACTGAATGGGCTTATCTCCTGCTACAATGCGACTTCCGAACCCGGCCTTCTAGCAAATCATAAAAATCCTAGAAGCCGTCACGATCGATTTCCTTTATCGAAGGTAATTGCAGTCGAGAAACGAATAGATTTTTAAAGGGGTGGGGTGGATGTGGTCCTGGTTCGAGTTCGCCCGTAGCTACGGGAGCTGACTGGCAATTGGAAACAGTTTTCAAAGATCAAAAAGGAGAGATAAATACATTCAGAAACAGAACAGACGACAAACTGAAAGGCCACATGCTCTGAGAGGTTTGGCTGGAGGCAGTGTTCAAGAGCGTGAGGGATGTGCAGGACAAAATGGACTCATCAGCGCGGTGATGAGAAGGCGACCCTTGGTCCGGGCGAGAGTTCGGCGGATCTCGTCCTCGTTTTTCCCCGCGCAACCTTGCCAGAGCCAACAGTCCAGCACCACACGCGCCTTCGGTTAATTAATTAACAAGTGTTCTGGACAAACCAACCAAGTTCCCAGCCAAACCCTCGCGTTGCGATGACCACGCCCCAGGCATGTTAGTTACTGTTGCTGTTATTGTTTGTCACCCTCAGGACAGCAGCTGGCGTTTTCTTTTTGATTTGATCGTCCTCAAAATACTAGGACAACCCACCATCAGATCCCTGCAGTAGTTGTCTTCTCTCGCCATGTCAATGGCGTTGTGTAAATCAACCGATGCCCCGGACAACTCCGCCATCATTCCGGCATGGACTATATGTTGATTATGTGTTCCTTTCTACACAGACCTTCAGACTGAACACATACCTAATGATAGCAATCTCATCCCGAGGCAGCAGCAATGAAACTGGTGTGGTGCAATGTTGGTGACTTTGATCTTACTCCTGGGGGCTGTTTCCTCACTAACACAATTTAACCGTCCCGTACATTCTAGAGCTTCCATCCGCGGATCCTACTTCGAGATCGAATCAGTTGCTCTATATCCCTCTTCCAGCGCCCCTGTAATGAACCTGGTGATATCATCCTGTAAGGTCGAGACGGATAGGGGCCACGCTCATCCTTCCAGAGTGGACATGCTGAAAACCCTTTACAGTTCCCAATTTTCCATTCATGCTTACATGTATGGCAGAAAGATTGTTGTATACATGGAAGATTATTTACAGATGGCATGCGGCCGGGCGGGCTGTTGATGCAATCGGACTATGGGTGACAATGATCGCATCAAGAGAGCATCGAGTTCCTCTTCTCCGGCTAGATAATGAAATAGAAATGAATACGTCTGTCATGTCCCGGCTCCCGCCCAAAGCAACGCCCCGCCCGGTCTTTTTCAGCTCCAAAGGGATGACTTTTGAAGAAAAATGTTGAACTTGCCCTAGAGACCCCAAGACCCTTTGCACGGCCCCCTAACGGATTGATGTCACGGCAATATCCACGTATTCGAAATAAATGGAAGTTAATTGGATAGAGAGAACTTATCCAAACCAACGCCGTGTGATTGATGAGTGTGTCCTCAACGGACGCTTGGGTCTACGGCCCATGTCGCGGAAGTACCCCACAAGAAAAACGGCGGATCGTGTTGTTCCCATTGGCTGTGCTTTGGTGTTGTTATTCTGTCCTATTCCCCTGTGGCACCGGGTCTTCGGGCAAAAACAGTACACGTAGAATGAAAAAGCTGGTTGAGATCGATTGCAACTTTGCCACGGACGGTGACAGTACTTTCATACACTGTTGCCACTAACACGGACGGTATCCGGACTGTAAACCTGTACAAACGTAGTTACAGATAATGCAGAATGGGTTGTATACAAGAAAACTGGAGGGCAATAACGGAAGACCACAGGCATATCCCATACCCGCTGCCTGGGCTGCCGATGCTGGTACAATGTTGTTGAATCTCCCAGTCTGGCCTGGAGGGTTGTGTTCCCAAACCAGTTAGCGCAGGTGCTGTATTTACCGAAAGCTCAACACCCAGTCCCAGCGATTACATCGACACCTATGCTTCCATCGCCAGTTCTTTGCTCTGCTTGTGAAGGATCTCTGTCTGGATTGCCCGCCCTGTCGATTCGCTTGCTTGTTGGATTCAGCTGTTCTGGAGATATATAGAACGTATCTATATATATGCACACGGCCGGCATCCCTTTTGCTGTCGACTTGCGGATCCCCGGTACACCCATATTTGTCATCTCATCATTCATTCCCCATCGTGCTAGGCAAGTTCTCTCCCAATCCCTCTCTGAGGACTCGTTAATGTACCTACAATATCTGCTCTCTGGATGGACGCTGGGATGTCAAATCTATGAAATATCTTGCTGACTTCGTGGTGCTCCCCAGCTCGATTTTGACTTCTCTATCATTCCACAATTCCCCCTCCCTGCATTCCACCCTGAAATCCTCCACCGCAAAGCACACAGTATCAAAACGTCATCTTGAATCCAAGCAAACCTGGATATCTCGTTTGAAGTTGGATTTACGAGGTTGGAAAATGGCTGCCACACTGAGTATGTCACTTCCACTCCAGTTACCTACCCACCGTATGCCTGATACTGGGGGTCTCCCTGATGAGCTGTACTTCGGTTTGGTGGGAAGAAGAAGAGAGAAAAAAAAATTGAAAAATTAAAAAAAATGAAAAGTATCATGGACCATTTTTCCCACTTAACCTCGCCTGGGGAGCTTTATAGAAACAATATACAAATCCACTTTCTACAAATTTGTGATCTTTGGATGCTGATGCTGTCATCACGTAGGCGGGACTTATACTTCCGCTCCTGACACTCCATCTCCTGTGTTCCCAGATCGTTTGATCCGTCCCCTACCGAAGCGTCCCATCCGTGCACGTCTATCCCCTGAGGCTGCTGAATCTATACTTTACCCGCCTGCCCCGCCTGTCACCCAAGTTTTCTACGGTTCATATTCTGGGAATGGCGATGTTGTTAACAATGCCAAGGTTTACGTGCAACAGACAAATTACGGACGCGAACATAGTCCTGAAGGCGACCACCACCATCTGTATGATGAAAGCGTAGACAGCGGTGATGAAGACGGCCCCGTGGTTGTCCGTCGAAGTGGCGGGTTCCATAGATCGTCCTTATCCCCCATGGGCGAAACCGGCCAGAAATACGTCAAACATCTGGAGGACACGCCAACCAAAACGCTTTCGGCTGGACTTGATGGCTACGATGCTTTTGAGAACACAAACAATAAAAAGAAAAGGAAGATACCCACGTCCGGTAACCCTGGAAACCATTCGAATTTATCTGCAGATATGATTACCCTGGGCATTTCAACGAACAGTGGCAATTCGTCCTCTATAGATGACGGGAGCGGAACTGGCTCGTATTACGGAACCGGTAATCCCGCTTCACCGGCGGGGAACGGTATATCGGGATCCGGAAGAGGGCGTTATGGCCGGAATGCTAGCCGTACGGTCAGCGGAAGGACCCCTCTCGCTGTTCATAACCCGAATGCTTGGCTCGGAGGCCGATCTGGAATTGGACGCAAGGAGGTAGCAACTTCTCTTGGCCAAGAATCAATTGGTATAGCTTGACTTTCAACAAGATATTAATTTTTTTCAAGACCTAGGTCAAGATTACTGACAGATCCCAGGTGAATTCTCGAACCATTCTGACCAAGGAATCATTTCTGCGGCTATAGCCAATGCCGCGGCTCTTTCAGCGTCAACGCCGCAGGGACAAGATAACACGAGCTTGTTAGACCAGACAAGAAAGCCCTCTCCAACAAAAACACAATTCACCTTTACCTGCGAATCCGACTCATCGAAAGGCATGGCGTGGCAAACCCAGAACTCATATTCCATCCAACAACATCATCGGGCAGGTAACCAACCACTTTCTTCAATGGCCCCAGGTCAAAGGGGTTTTTCGACTCAGGGGACGCAGACGAGCCCAAATTTAGCGTCCCAGACAAATCATCAAGGCCAGGTGCAGGCTCAGCACCCGTCACAAAGCGCAGGCCAAAACGCCGCCTCGAGCAAGAAAACACGACGGTCCCCGGGAAGCACCTATGCCTTGGCCGCTCGTCAACGTCGGTTACGACAACAGTATTCGAATCTCCACCACCCGCCGAACATCGACGAGATTTGGATATGCGAGTTCTGCGAATATGAAAGTATATTCGGCCGGCCACCAGAGGCGTTGATCAGGCAGTATGAAATTAAAGACCGCAAGGAGCGCCGGCGGCTAGCAGAAAAGAGGAGACTGCTTGAAAAGGCCAAGATGAAAGGTCGCAAGGGCAAAAAGGCAACGAAGAATGCCGCCAAGGCCGCAGCTGCACATGCACAGCAATCAGCAGCAGCTCATCAGCAAGGATATGATCGACAACACCAACCGGTAGGAGACCACGACCCAACAGGCTATGGAGGAGGGCTTGGTGATAATTATCTAGGCGATGAGTACGAAGACGAAGTTTCAGCACAACACCCGCACCCTGCCTCTCCTGCACCTCCAGCTGGTGCTGTCAAACAGGAAGTACTCGCCAGCAACCAGGCTAAAGCAGGAGGTGTGGGAGACGTCACGTCAGGCAAAGGTGTAGCTGGAGGCGGTACGATACGTGCTGGGTGATGGCTCGCGGTGTGGCGTGGCATCACTAGACATGCGCAGATGTTGTCTGGATACTTTTTTGGACGAGAGCGGCCCCAATTGATACTTCAATCCAACACAATTCCTTCTGTTTCCTCTCCCTCTTTCTCCTGCTCTTCCGAAAAGCCTCCAGAGCGACCACGTTGTCTGCTGCGCCACATTGTCCCGTCCCTATCACCATCCCTCCCCATTCTTCTTATGGGGGACACCTTGGTCCTTTTTTTGTTATATTTCCTATTATTCATTCCTCATAGATAACTTCATAGAGTTACCCTTTCTGCTCTTGTTGTCTTTTTTTTTTTTTTTTTTCCCTTCCTCTTTCCACTTCCCTCCATGCACAGAATCCATGCACAGAACAAACGCAATTTGTCTCCCTTGTATGGAATGAACCTCCCCGCTCAAATCATTTTATCATCTTTTTTTCTTCTTACTACTTAGATCATTTCTTCATTTACGTACGAATCCCCTTTTCCTTTCCTTTATTTTCTTTTACTCTGGACCAACTTCTCCCTCCCTCTTGCATAGCATTTTGGCCGCCGTCCCCCGTCCCTAACTAAATAACACTCATCGTGTTTCCCCCCCCGCTTCCCTTTCCCATCACCCACCCTTTTGGAACATTGGTACTTCTTTGGTTTGGCGCAACCCATTTCTACATACTCTTGTAGGTATCTTGAAGGCACACGCACGCACGCACGCAAACAGGAGTATTTATTTATACCTTTATCAGCCAATACAGGTGCATATGCGGATATTGTACTTCCTTTGATTTTTTTTCCCCGTTATTGCCCTCTTTTGTTACGCTTGAGCAACTGACCACTCCGATATTTTTTTTGGCGACACAAAATGAGTAGAGTATGCGCTTCCATTTTAAGTAACATGCCCGATTATACAATTTTGTCAGAGCACCTCTCCCCTCCCCGGAGTCTCCTTCGTCCGGAATGTCCCATCCAAGAAAAAAAATGGACTGGAAGTAGGATATTTTTGACCGCCATCTCTTTCCCTTTTCAAAATTTCTCCTTTTTGGGCTGAGGTCTGCTTTTATTTATTTTTTTCGCCTTGTTTTTTCTCACATTCCGTCATCGGTCTTGGATTTGAATAGCTTTTCCGTCCCAGCCTTGTTTTGTTCGGTTATAGGTGTCTTGATGAGTGAATTAAGGGACAATTGGATGAGCAAAAATCGGATAGGAATAATAAAAGCATATAACACGGAGTCCGCTGACTGCTCGTGGTCCTAGCCGGCGCCAGCTGTTACGCAAACAGGAAATCTTGGGTTATGAACCGGCGAGGTTCATCAGTGACATGAGTCGTTGGATATGTATATGGCACGCGGGAATCGGGAGACCACAGCCAAAGGGAAAAAGAAAGAAGAGAAAAAAAAAAAAAAGACTCTCCGCGACCCAAACCAATCAATGAAAAACGAACAGGCTTTCTCAGGCGTTTCTTTATTTCCTCATCTTGTGAATCAGGCGTAGAATTGGGCGAAGTACAAGTATGGTTGCGGGCATGGCATTATTCCTTGCTTGACAGAAAGGTTATAAATAGTACGTGCATACGGGAAAACGTTGTCGAGCCGAAGAGATGTTGAACAAAGTAAGCAAAAGAAAGTAAAGCGGGCGAATCGCTGCTCGACAGGAAAATACCCGCTTGCTTCGGCCGATTGTCAAAGGATAGGATAGGAATTGAGTAGCGTTACTCGAGTTACATACATTTGTTTCATGAAGGGCAGGCCTCTGCGAGCCAATAGATACACCGCAAATGGTGTCTCTGCAGTACCTCAACTTCTTCTTGTTTCTTTTCTGAGGGCTCTGGAGCATCGTTAGCCGCCAGCAACATGCGCTTGTATCCACCGTGTTGCTGCAAGATCTATCCCTGACCCCGGCGGCGCTACAGAGTAACAACTTGAACCCTTCGCGCTCTCCATCAAACCGCTAACTGAACCGCTAAGTTTCCCCATCTGCAGCTCCCAGCCAACCGATGCCTTGTTCCACCCCGCGATCACAAACAGCTCTTGTTCTTTCTTGAGCATCTGCGATCTGCCGGATGTCCCTCAGTGGTAGGACTGGGGGTGGTCTGTTTCATGTTAGACCATATCCCTTTTGTCTATTGTTAGACACGAGTCGAGGAACGAGGTTTCATTTTTCATTTTTCTCTGCTTGGTTTGCCCTTTAGGGGACTCTTGCCAAAGAATGATTCGACCAGGAGCCTATCTCTTGTTACACGCTCCGGTGCTGGAGCTACCTATCTTTGTTCTTCAAAGATGCTGTGTTGCATGATGGGAAGTAAGCCGCTCTGGCTCGCAGCAGAGTTCCAAGTCCCTGGCATCTTGCAACTTGCTGGAACTGGCTTCTTCAAAACAGAATATATATAATGGCTCCCGCTTCTGCCGGAATCCATATTGGCTTTGTTTCTTGCAGGAGTGATCACCGTTGTATCGGATATTTGCCTTTGTTCTTCTTCCTTTTTTCCTTTTCTCTTTCCTTCTCTTTCTCTTTCCCGTTCCTTTCCCGCCTGGCTACCGCTTTCCTTCACTCTGTTCCTTTCTATATATCGCATTCTCTCGGTCTGCCCAGTTTGTACTGTGTACAACTCTTCTGCGCCCAGGCCTTTTTCTCTTTTCTCTCCTCCATTTCCTTTCCTTGCAGAATTGCTGGACATAAAATACATCGCCTGTTGAAAACAAAAAGGGCGTCTAATATCCAACCAAGTTAATAAACGAATACAGTGCTGTGCACCTTAACTGGCTCCACGAAACCAAACAGCCCCCTAATAATATCGCAAACGGCCACACATACAAACATACCTAGCTGCGCACCCGCGAAGGTGCTTTCGTCCATACAACATCAGTGGGTTATTCACTGAGGTGCGGATCCGGAAACAATAGCTACCGTATTCTATTTCCGTGCAGAATACCCTATTTATTGAAGGGGTTCCCGAGGTGTCAAGAGGGACAGGACATTCACCCAGGCAATTGAACGCCCACATTCTGTACAAAGCAGGGAACTCTAGGGTTTTTATTGTAAAACCCTCCAATACGTACCAGGTCGAACTGTATAGATATCTATCTATCACGCCACTACCCAAAAGAAACCACCCGAAGAACCACATCAATCACACGGTGTTATAACCATGGGCATCAAAGCTCTCATCATCGACGGCGTCCGAAAGCGATACAGCATCGGCTCCACTGTCAGCACAGTTGTGGGATGCTCGCTCCGTTTCCTACAGTTTGTTTTCGGCATCGCAGTCATCGGCCTGTACGCGCAAGATCTCATCAGGCAGCGCAAGGACACTGGAGGATTTGACCCCAAATGGGTACGTCTTTTGCACTCCCGTTCTGTCTCTTTATCAACCTATCTCTCCATATCTAATCTACCTGAAAAACATTCTGTTAAACTAAATAAATGAATGAATGAATGAAAATAACAAAATTAATATAAAACAGACCTACGCCACCTGTCTCGGCACTATCTCCTCCCTCTCCGCAGTCATCTATTTCACCATTCCCCTCGCCATGCCTGCCTTTTCCCTCCTCCCCAGTGTTAACCTGCCCACCCTGGTCTACGACAGCATCGTCAGCATCCTCTGGCTCACGCTCTTCGGCATCTTCGGCAAAATGTACATGACCAAGCACGCAGCGGAGGGGGACGTGGACACCATCCGTATGAAACATTCGGTCTGGGTGGATTTGGCCAATTTGGCGCTGTGGGCTGCCACAGCAGCGTGGGCGGGAGCCAGGTGGTGGAAGTCTGGAAAGGGCCGGAGAGAGGCGGAGAAGGGGAGTGAGATGGGTGAGGTTTGAGGGTAGTTGCCCACCCCCTTCCCCTCTTTTTTTTATTGATTTTTGTGGGCTCTGAGTCTGGGTTCTTTGGGTTTGGGTTCGACTGGATTTGAACTGCTGCTAACAGCACGCTCCACCCTTTTTCCCCCTTAATTTTTCTTAAAACTTTGTCTTCTTGATTATCTGCATATTAACGGGCGTGCATGGGATTAGCTAGGCCTATTGCTATACATATTTTTTTCCCCTTTCATTTTCCATTTTTCATTTATTTGTTCCCTTTCCCATGAACTTTTATATCTTGTTTGCATCTGGATTGTTTGCTGTAGTAGTACCGACTACATAGTAGTAGTTGTATGTTGGCTTTTTGCTGTGGTTCCCGTCCATTTTATTATCATATTATTATGCAGTTGACATGAACAGATCTGCCCGAAGTTTTTTTTTTTTTTTTTTTTTTTTTTTTAAAAAAAAGAGTTAATGACCAGTTTGGTTTCAAGTCTTTCAAACAATACTGCGGGACGGGGGGGATGTTCCCGTGCCCTCCCCAACCCCCAGATGCATTTAGCACAGACCATTCATCCCAGTCAATCGCAGAAAATACTACATTGTCACCATCTGACCTGGAAACGTCAATAGGTCATGTGTATGTGTGCGGGTGTTCATCGTGGTATGTAAGTTGGGCCTTCTGCAGCCCCCGTCATCCGATTGGTGCCGTGCGTGAAGGAAGGAAGGAAGGAAGGAGCTTGTCATCTCGATTTAAGAATAGTAATTAATTAATATATTGGTGTTTATTTTATTTATTTTTATTTTTATATTTTTTTAATTTGTTTATTTAATTTCTTGCTCCGCTCACCTTTGCCATTTCGTCCATATTCATCAAGGCTCGCTCGCTCACTGCTGGCTGGATGGGGCGGTTTTCCTGAGAAACTTCCATACAGTATTTACACAGGTTAAAATAAATAAAAATAGCAAGCGGATAGCTCAATGAAGTAATGGGATGGGAGGAGTATGCGCGATCTTTGTAATTTATTTTGCCCATCACGGCTAAGAGAATACAAGATGGAGAGAAGGGAGAAAAGCGTCACATAGTCAGGGGGGGTAGAATAGACGGGGTCAGGCACTATGTGTCGACTAAATCATTATATGGTTCTCTGTACTCAAGGTGCTGGCGTGTGGGGGAGTTTATATATATAATTTTTTTGGCCTTCTAACTTAGGGGGTATCGAGTATATACAGAAAAGATATATGGTAAGCCATCGCATATGTAAGGGGTGGGGTAAATATATATATATTAGGTTGCTCCTTCGTAGTAGCTGGCTCGGATATGCTGGAGAATCGAAGAGTTAGATTAGATATGTCGGTTCCACTTTCTGTGGGATTTCCAACTGCTTGCGTGGAGCTAGTCGAAGTGGAACTAGGTCCTGCGCCGGCTCTATGACCAATCCTCAATTTTCTCCCGTTCGAAGCTCATGAAAGTAGAATTTCATTTTCATTTAATTCATTCTTTGTTAAATTGGGGGAATGGAGGGGTCTCATCGCTGGAGGGAGGAAACTGCATTGTAGGTATAGGTGGTACATGTACAGAACATGGGCCCGCTGAGGAGCAAGAGCTATTCTGCGCAAGGGTGAATCCCTCCTTTCTTGCGCGTTCTTGCCGTGGGGTCACCGTCAAGTGAAAAGAGAAAAAAGTGATGTGCACAAGTCACCCCCCGTCTTTCGCGCTCTCACACGTGTTTCCCATTTTTCTGCATCGTCGCACTTAACTTCCTTTCCTGCTCGATCAACTTGCTTAACTGGCTCTGCTGTTGACTTAGAGATGGTCTGGATGTAGAAACTCCTCCTTGCTGAAATGGCGACTGCAGCTGTAGCTGTGATGGGAAAATTGTTTTGGAGCGATCATCATCGCTATCGATATCCTCCCAATCCCCTTCATCGTTCCCGCCCTCCGCATATACATGCTCAACCACACCGTTAGAACCGTTGTAATTGTCCTGAGATGGGCGCTGCTTCTGTCCCGAAGATCCTCCTGTCTGGATCTTTCCCAGGCCGTCGACCGCATGAAGCCCCTTAACCGGTTTTACGTCGGCTGATGATTGAAGGTTTTGCGAACGCGTCACGCCCGTGTTTGCTATAGGGACTATTGTAGCACTCCCCTTAATATCCGCCCGGTTTAGTAGCGAGCTTCCTAAATTAGTGAAAGACGAGTTGCGCGACTCCTGTAGCTGTTTTTCAACAAATCGCGCCCGGAAGTCCTTTTCTACTAGCGAGATCGTAGATGGTTGCGTTTGTTGTGAGATAGGGGAACTATTACTCCGCTTCTGCTGCTGCGTCTGTTGCTTGTGAATAGATTTGATGATAGCGGGGTGTGATGTGGGGTTTGACGTTGGGCCTGGTCGATGGGTAGTTTGGGATAGCCAGGGGTTTGGCTTTACAATGGTCGTAGGGGTTGGGCTTATGGATATTGCGGATTCTACAGCGTGGGCATTTGCAGTTAGTATGATATCAGTGGGGATGTGCTTCGATAGATTGATTCCATATGTCAAGAAAGGGAAAAGAGAGATTTCTCCTACCATCAGATATGGGATATTTCTGCTGTAGAAGCGCTGATGAACCATACATGTCAGGTAAGGCCCGGATTGTCTTGGTAGGCGAATGTCTTGCAGATGAGAGATCCAAAGGCAGCTGGGAGGCTTTCGTCCGCCTCGACACCGGCTCCGCTTCCATGGAAGTTACATTTGTTGCAAATGTAGCCTTTTTCCTCCGCGGTTTCTCCAAAGATGATTCCCCAACAGAAACTTCAATGCCTGCTATTGGGGATGGGGACAAAGAGGGGTCGCCCCCTCTGACATTTTCACTCGCGCCCACCGTAGAGGAATTGGAGGTTTGCTGAGCGTCGTTGGATGGTTGTCGCGGCTTCTTTAAGATAGGAGGCGGCAACGGTGTCCGAGTTGAATTTACCGAGGATTTCCGGGATGCTTTTTGGCTACTTTTAAAACCAGTTCTCGTTGAGAGACTCTCGGGCTGGGCGCTTGAAGTGGATGGGGCCACGCGCCGTCTTGATGGGACCCGCGGTATGGATTGTGGGATCTAGAAATATCAGAAGACATTCTCTCGCAAGTTAATACCAGCTATCTGGGCCAATGTACATACTTCTCTTAGTCTGCCTCGAGCCATCCCGGTAATGCTTTCTCCTTCAGATATATGGAGAAAGAGGCCAGCTAGCGTAGTACCTTTAATAGTACGTAGAATGGAATTGTTGCTCCATATTCTCCAAAACAGATTTTCCAGCCGCCTTCCCTCATCTGCTTTCATCGTAGACCTGTTGGTGGTGTAGACTGGCACATTGAGATGTTAGAATATATATGTGTGTATACAAGGGCTCGTCTTCTGTTTTCCATCTATTCACGCATTGAATTTCCACCACTGTATTCAATCCGGACATAAATATATGGTTCTTTCCCTCCGCTTTTGTTTTCTTTGAGAGCATAAACGAAGAAAGCATCCTTACCTCGCCATAGCTTTGCGAGATCCTGAGCATCCACACCGCCAAAGCTTTCAATTTCGGAACTAATGCGCTCGGAATTTAAGACGATACCCTTAGGTAAAGCTTCTGTCATTGTAACCAGCCACTAAGAAATCAAAACCCGCCGAACGAAATCCACTTTCTTTTCGGTTTTACAGTCAAGGAGCTGAACTCTCTTCATCGAAAAGGGAATAGGCAAATTAACGAGCTGCCACAGCACACAAAATTCGGGAAGGGAGAAAGGCGAAAAGGAGTGATCAAGGGAAAAAGAAGAAGAAGGAAAAAATCAAATAGTAAGGAAGTGCAGTGACAACAAAAATAAATCAACAACAAACGGGGAGAGAAGGATATGGTCAACGGTCAGCTGAGCTTCATGGCTCAGCAAGGGCATGGGTGATGGGAGTAGAACATTTCACAGCCGGACACATACAACAGGCCAATTTGTAAGGTGTGGACGGTACAGAACCGAGAGCAAGCAGCATGCAGTCACACAGGGATGAGGAAACGAAATAAATGCAGTGGGTAGAGAGCTCGGTATGGTTGTTTGGGATAGAGCTTGTTTCACGTGAGATTGTCCAGGTGACCCCGTGGGGAGGTTGGGATAGTTTTGCTCTTTGGCGGCAATGAGGTAGGGTTGAGAAAGGTAAATGAAAGAAAAGGAAAATGAACGGCTGTTGAAGTGAAGGAGGATGGAGGGATAATATTATTTGTTTGTGATATCGCCGTGGTGAGGGAGCTTCGATCTCTCAGCAGCACGGAGCTTTCTGCTGAAACAGAGGGGGACTTAGCACGGTTTTGGACTCAACAGAGACCAGAGATGAATGTGCCGTAGCTGGGACAGGAAGCTCCACAGATTAGCAGCAGAGAGCAGAACGGCGAAGTCTGGGTAGGTCAAAAAGGGATACGAGAACCGGGCTGGAATGGAACACCCAGGATACGGGAGAGTCCCGCGTAGGGCGAGTAAACGGAAGGCAAATTCCAGCAGAGAGAAGAGTAAGAGATGACAAGGACGGCGAGAAACCAAACGGGCGGGAGGGTGAGTGGTGGAGAGTCGAGATCGAAATCAATAGAGCCCAGGTCAGCTAGCTGGTCATGTGGCCACCGTAACTGAGCAATAATAAAAATACAACACCGCTGAAAACGGAAAGGAGTGAGAATGAAGGAGAATGGAAAGGTTTCAAGGGAGGAAATATATGTAAGGCCAACGAAGGGACGGAAACATGGCTATACTATTTCAAGCATCAAGGGGAAATAACCCGGGGAATGGCGTGAGGGATCTGTGTTGGAACCACTTGTTGGGGCGCGGCGGACATGCCCATGATTATTGAATTATCAGCTTTCAACCGATGCAGGGCATTGGATGTGTGTTGGCTAACTTGCGGAGTGAGTGAATCCAAATCGAAAGCCATCATACCATGCAAGTATCGGGAACAAGAAGGCGATACCAGACTTCAATCTTGCTGTTTCATATCCCCATTCCCTGGCTTTCTCTCCCACCAGGCTGGGCCATTATTGTTATATCAACCGTAGTGGCTTGGGCCCTGAGTGGATCGGTGGCGGATGTAGCTCTCGATCCCTTGGCCCAAGGAGAAAGCGCGCCTCCGCAAGTACCAGTACTTAGACATCGTTAGCGCAAGGCCTGTCGTCGCTTAGAATGGAGCAGGCTTTTTTCCACGCCTCTTCTAGAACACGAAAGATTCAGAACGGAGAGTATCCTCCATCCTCCTTTGGCTGATAATTGTTTCAGTCGCCTTCCTTGATATAGGGTTGAATTTTTGCCTGGAGGGGAAGGAGGGACAACGTAAGCAATTAGGTGCCGGATTGGATTACTCTCTCGCGGGAGCCAACCAGGAGCTATATCAAGTAATCGATTGCGCTTGGAATTGATTGAAGCCCGTTCCATTCCTATTTTGAGTGACCAGCTATTGAATATTTCCACCACGCAATCCTTGACCTGGCATCCATGGCCAGAAGTGGCGATACTGGCAACCCTTGAAATTGGGAGAAAAGGCCTCGGGCTCAATGCTTCAATCACCACCTTGTTTTGTTCGCCCCCTCGTTCGACGCGCAGCTTTCCACCGGTTCTATCAGCACGGTTGGTGTGATTGACGAAACCCGGAACGGCATCGCGAAATTCACATTTTTGGCCACGGATAGACAATAAACCAGCCCAACTCGCCTGCAGTGCTGATCCCAAAACCCTGTCACCCCAGCGGTCAGCAATCCAACCACTAACGTTAAATAACCCGTAGCTTTTTCATTGGAGAGTGACCCGTGAAACGAAGTGAGGATTCATGCGTAGTACTGAGTATTATTATTATCGAGGGGACACTCCCGATTGTTGTAGCGTCCAACGGATTTGCTTGCTCTTGCAGCATCGTTTGACACGCGAATTCCGACGATGTTAGGAGGATGTGCTAGCACGTTCTCTCTTAAAAGCGACGGTGCGATCTCTCTCGTCTCATGTCGATGTTCCCTTGATAAAACCGGCGAATTTCGAGAAGAATAATCATACAGCATCATTTCCTGGGCCCTGGTCCTATTTCCAAGATCTTTTTCAGATTTCCTCGCCTAACACTGGCCGATCGGTCAGCATCTGCTGGTCGAACCGCGGATAACTGCGAGAGATGAGAGGTCTTTCTGCACAGCAGCTATGATCCCTTTAGTTGGGTGTCCTCCTCTCGCGGCCCTCTCCACTGCTCAGCTGCCAATAGCAGGGAGAAGCACTGTATTACCCACCGCTGAATGCGCAGGACAGCCAGCAAATAATAGACAATCGGGGTTGACCCCACATCTTAATTAATGCATCATTTAGTGAACATGCGGGTCAGACCTATTCTCGGCAGAAACTCTAAGGACGGACCGTCCCGCCTTTCCACCGGGCCGCAGTTTAACCCGGGCATGAAAGTTAACCTGTTCAATTCATGGAGCGGGACCTGCTATACAATACAGACATTTGACGCCATTGATTCTCTTCCCCTGTGGCCTGGCGCCGGTTCAGTTGACACCATCCACGCTGTGGCACTTGCTCTCGAGAGGGGTGTGGCCTTTGCAAGCTCGTTCTTCCCCATACTGTGCTGATTATGGGTTTGACTCTCCCCAATCTCCTATTTTCCCTGTGTATGTGGGTTTTTGTTTATCGCACTCTTCTGCTATTTCCAATTTTTGATAGTGAGGGGGGAACAAAGCCATTCTACACATCAACCCAATTGTGCTGAAGGACGTATTTTTTGAACACACACAACCACACACACGCCTACATGGAGAGAGAATGGCATTTCATACATCTAAATTCCCGGAGTTTGGTGATTGTTTTCTTGGGAAAAGAAAGGAAAATCAGAGTAGTTAATATTTGCTACAAAGCTCTCTTCTTATATAGAAGAAATCGTACTTCGTACTCCCGCTCGTCTCAATTTCTTTTTTTTCCTTTCCTTGCCCGTATCTGATATCATATCTAGTGTATCAGCATGCTGTGAATGAAATCCATATACTTCCTCCACCCCTCGACGTGGTTAGAAAGGAGGTTCTAACATGATAAATTTGCTTGTTTTGCTCATGCATGCGCCTATCCCACGTGTGATAAATCACTGCATACCATCTTAACCCACTGCGACACCGCCGAATATCAAACAGCAGATCTCCCAGACAAACAGACGCACCAAAGTATACACACACAGCCAACACAGTCTGGCAGTCTGCGGCTAGGCCCCTACCCTCGCGTGTCAAATCGATCCTATCAGCTAGGACGGCGCTAAGACAGCTAGTGGACGAGCTGTTGCGTTTATTTCCCCGCGTCGAATCCTCGCAGAGTAGTGCGTGTGAACGTGTCCATGTCCAAACTGTGGCGTTGTGATTACAGGGTGGGCCTGTAGAAATGCAAGGTTTCGTCTTCCCCCCACATACCACACACAGAGCTAACGCTATGCACGTGGACATGAGACATGGAAAGGTATGTACGTATGGATGGATGGGCTGCTCTTACAAGGGACATATTGACATATCAAATGAGCACGAGGACGAACGATCGGGGGGGTCTAGGCCAGCTACTGCTGGTTAAACCAAACCCTCAAC